ATCCTCTTATACGTGACCTCAAGAGGATTCTTTTAAAAGCTCAAAGAGGAAACATTTTGAGCACAGTATTATTACTCTTCTTATTAGAATTACTCATTCGATAAAAATTTCTCTTTAGAATATGGAATTACAGCAAATAATGTCTAGCAACTAGCATTCTTTTTACTATTTGTTATGATTCTTTTTTTGGGAGAGTTGGAATATTTTCTAACTTTTCCCGAGTTTCGAAATTGTAATCCTACTTTGGATCTGACCATTTTAACATATGTATATACTAAAGGATTAATGTATGTGTAATACACATGAAAATTTAAACTCTACTTTGCACTTCTAAATGGCAGAAAATGCACGAAATACCATTTCTAAGAAAGATTTCTCGTCAAAGTTGGTAGGTTGAATAGAATCAACAGAAGTTGATATAGGCTTCAAAGTATTAAAGTAAACGTTAATGAGATCGATGGAAAATATTAAGGTCAAAAGTAGAACCGAAATTTCGATTCGGGTTCGCACACACAAATATTAAAATATGTTGATACACCTTCGACTGGTTTATCCAGAAAATATAATCTCATCCTTAGCGAAATCCTCTTTATGTGGCCTCAAGGGGATTCTTCTGAGAACAAAAGGAAAATATTCTGGGCATAATATTATTCCTCTTCATTAGAATAAGAATACTCTGTAGATAAACCACTCTTTTCGCTCAGAATATGTAATTGCAGGTTGAATAGTAACTTGCAACTAGATTTCTTTTTTTTTTAGTGTTAGAATATTTTCCTTTTTTTTTTTCAGAAGAATTTGAGACCATATATGAAAGATGATTTCGTTGAGAGTGAAATTATATTTTTGGGATGTTTCGAAACCAGAGACAGGTTATGTACATGTTATTAGCCGTTATTAAAAAGTTTCATCACGCATCCGAGAATCGTGTGGTACGCGTGCGTGCGAGTTTGCACGGTTGTTTGAAACGTCCCGAGCGCGTTAAACGCACGCGTTCGCATTTCATTTTGCGGTATTACGCGAGATTTATTCGCGGCCGCGCGTGATTCATCTCACGTGAATCGCACTCGTCGCCGACGACGTTCGCGCGTGCACTTTCTGCCAGATTATACCGAGGGTCATTCCGCGTAGATTAAAACTTAATTACCAGTGTATGAGGTCTAACGTGCCCGATGGGAGACGAAGGAGAATGCCGTTAAAAGGAAATTAACGGACTTATCTCTTGTAACGTCGCTTAATGCGACCGTAGTTAACACCGCAGTGAATTCATTACGTGCGTCGAGAGAGGACATCTCACATCGCGCGGATACAAATCCGTCGATTTGCGACAAGCGCGAATTCTTTCAATGGATCCCCCCACAAGTCTCGCGACGTTAACGACATGTCGAAGATTATTTTCACTCGACGTCTCGAAGTAGAACGCGTCGATACTTTGTTCCATGGGAGATTACCGGCTGATCGATCGTTGAAATCGGATTCGTACGAGTAATTAATCGGACAATATGCAGCCGTAAGCAGTCATATTTATGTACTTTTAAATCATAATCCTTGCCTTCCGGAGAAATTTAATTCGTTGCTTCTCACGTGCACTCGTCGTTCTTGCGGTGAAACCAATTATTAATTCACATATCCATTACAAGCAGCCGTATCAGCCGTCGGAACAATCGCGCTTATCTGCCACGCGCAGCCTTCGTGTTGAATTTCTGTCGGAAAATGCGCACCATTAACGCACGTTCATGGAGATCGACGCGGCTTGCATCATTAGGAAGCAATAGTACGGATTGGCCCGTTATAATATTCAATGTACACAAGCTGCTCCAACATATCACGGCCGCATATCGCGATTATGCTATAGAAGCCACGGTAATTTGCCGATTTGATCGGTGTAATTCGACCGGTACGATAGAAACGACGACGGCGGCGGCGACGAGGTCGGTCGAGATCGATACGAATTCGCGAGCGATTTCTTGCGATTCGGGAGGGTGACGAGCGCGCGCGCGCGGACTTTCACGGGCTTCGGAATTTTGCTGTTTGACGTAAACGATAACGTCCACAATAGTCGAGACACCGGATACCCGATGGAATTCTCGCGGCTCCTGTTTCATCGAATTCAATCCTACGGGATTTCTATTGGTTACTACTGGGGAATGGAAATGTGTCAGGCCATTGGCTTCTGCTATGGGTTGGAGTGAAGTAGAGAGTGGAGGCTTGGTTAACGTGTCCTATCTGCGCTCTATGGTCACCCTCTTCGGTTTGACTGACGCTCTCCTTTGTTCGGCTATGAAAAGACGCGCGTAAGTGCGAGGAAAAAGAGCGGGTATAATTAAAGGAGCGAATGTCTGGAGAGGCCGGGAGGGGAGGGGGAAGACGAAAAGTAAACGCGGAATATATTCCCTATTCAACGTTGATTATTACGTAAAATTCTAACGTCTCCTCCATTCGGACTGCTCGCTCCGCCAAATGATCCGCTTTATACTCCGTTGATACTTAACAGTGCGCGGGCGCACACACACACACACACACACACACTGTACTTGGAAATATTGCATACAGTTCTATTCTCTGGCTGATCCTTTTTCTGGCTATATATCGCGCATAGAATATGGGGAAATTCCGTGTAGCGTACCGTAACTCTCGCTATTAATGCGAGCGGAACTTTTTGGAAAGCGAGTGTATATTTAGTCTTCCGAGCGGTTTACGACATGAAAGTAACGCGCGATCGATCGCGTTAGAGGGATGTAAATAACTTCACTTTACATAGAAAGCGGAAGTAAAAGTACTACTAAGTGGATTAACGATTCCCTTTACTGCGTCGTAAAAGATTAATACAGCGTGCGGATGGAATATAAATGAAATTAATGCGCCGCGTGATCGTGACGATTATTATTGTCGTCAATATTTTATGTGCTCCGTTTCTTATGATCGCGCCTGGAAAAATAATAAAAAGAAATGGATCAAAGGAGGAAGGAAGAAAGAGAGAGAGAGAGAGAGAGAAAAGAGAGTCTTCTGAAGTAGAGGAGTGAACGATAATCTTCTTATTTGCTAACGAATGTAATTCGTTTGCGTATCGCGCAAGAAGAGCTGTATGTGGACGCATATCCGTGTGTCCACGCGCCTGTGTAGGTATGTACGTAGCGTTAAGCTAGGCGCGCGCGATTATAATACCGGCGGACAAAGTGAATTAGCTAGATTAACAAGTTAATCTGCCAGTTTTCCGGCAGCCGGCTAATTTGTGAACGTGTGCATTCAGCGGGTTATATATTATATACGACAGATCCGCCGCGGCGAGGATCCCGGCGGCGAGGTTCTAGCGAGATTGGATGGGACTGGCAGGAATAAGACGGAATCTCTCTCGGGATTCTCTGCCTCGGCCTACTCGATACATCGATTATCGATGAAGTATACGTTTAGTAATTTTACGAACGGAAGAATTGGTTATCGGACTCAGGAGCGGGCAGCAGGAGAGAAGTTATCGCGCGGCGTTAATATCTCTCTCAGAGTTCTTTTCTCTCCCTTCCGTTTGTCGAAATTCAGTTTCTTCCTCGTAGGCGATATTTGATATCGGAGAAGAATTGTAACGAGTACCGGACCTAATGAACACTTCGTGCTTGGTGGACATTACGGGGATTAATCCTATCGGCAATCCAAGCGGGAGAATCGTATTAGAAGTCGGTGCACTTGCGCGCGAGGACCCGGGGTATCCTTTATCTGGGACGACGCGGATCAACGAGATTTAACATGGTTATTGTGATTGTAATCCTTTTAAAACTCGCGGTTCTATAAACGTTTTCTCGCCTCGACTTTGTCCTATTATATTGGAATAAAGAAAATTCTCACGACTTGTGCTAATTAAAAAGACAAGAAACATTTGTATTTTAATAAAATAGGCAAATTTTTACTCCACTTAAAATATGAATCATGAATATAATACATTTATATTTTATATGAAATGTACTATCATCGTAAAATAAAATTCATGTGCAAAATTGCCGGAAATTAGTGCTACTATTTAATGTAATTTTGCATCATTTTTGCTGCAATACAGCCCCGAGTATCCTTTCGATGACGAGCTCTGAGACTGGATTACATGTTAATTAGCCCATCGGAGGCTGATGTTGATCTATATCTGTCCTCGTGAAAGGTCGTGTAGCGGTTGCTACAACGAACCGCGAGACTAGAGCTTAGTACGTCGAAAGCTTACGAGCGATCGATAGGTTCGTGCGGCAAAAGGCAGCTACAGCGATATATGGTAAAAACAGGTGATCGACCGTTGAATGTTTCGTGGAATATATTATATAAAGACGTTGTGCCGATCTATACATGTAGGAAAACTCGCGCTTTCGATATCCATAATCATGCCAAGTGGGATAGACTGTTATCTCATTGCGGAATCTTCCTCTTTCGCGTATTCATTTTTCGCACGAATGTACAGGATGTTCCTGTACGGGAAAAATTCTGAGATGGGCGGAAATTCATTTCACGCCGGAATATGCCTGTGTTGCATTGTTTGTGCGACGCAATTAAAAATGTCGCATGTGTCGTGTAAGCCGCGGTGAATTGATTGCGACTGGCGCTGTTGCTGGCACAGCATCGAACGTTTCACGAGACGGGAAATCGACACGATTTCCTGCCAACAGCTGCGAAGCTTCGCGGAAGGTAGCTAAACGTTCTCGACGTTCTTTAGCGAAACGCGCTCACGTCACTGTCGGTCGACACGTTGAACTTTCAACCGACAAAGAATGTGTCGTGTTTACGTCGCACAGCGACTGACTTCTAGTCATTAGGCTGCAATTTGCAGCAGTTTCAGCGCCGCATCGATTATAGACTGTGCGCCGCGTCACCGTTCCATGTACTCTAGCTCGCTCGCGACGCGAGTTCCATGGTTTCGCGTTAGCCGCGCCGTATCTTACCTCGCTCGGGGTTATTAACCGGCTGGGAAGCCCCCTCCCTCCTCCACCTGCCACACCGTAATAATGCTTACGTCACTCTGATTTATATTGCAGAACGTCCTGCGAGAGCTGGAGCAGAAGAAGCCGCAGTTGGACGAACTGGTTCACACGGCCGAAAACCTGCGCGCCGACACTAATCGGCAGCAGCTGCACGGCAAGGGTGAGTTCCCTCCCTCTACTTTTGCGTATTTTTCCAGCGCGATAGCGGATCTTAACGGCACGTCAAGTGCCTGAGCTTGTCGTGGCTATGTGTGCGTGGGTGTGTACGTCGTGTACTCAACGACGCGAGCGTACGGCGATCTCGTTTTAACGTTCTCCTCACGTTGACCGACGTGAAATGCGCGAGAGTTGCGCCTTTCTTTGGAGGCTTATTTGAATATCAAACGCGCGACACCGATGCGCGTTCACTTCTCTGCAACTGCTTCGTAACCGTCACTCGTATCTGAAAAATCTCGACTCGTTTGCTTGCTTACTTACTTACTTACTTACTTACTTATTGCCATTCCGACGCGTCGCGCAGACGCGCGTCACCCGTAAAAACGCTCGGTGCTTTCCCAGCCGTCGTGTAACTTTTATACAATACCGTCGCGCGAGCTGTTTTCGCTGTTCTCAAGTGTGAGTCGTTTACATAGCAGAACTACCCCCTCGAGACAAGAGGGTGGGAGAGAACCGTATTTTCGAAGCGCGTTGCGCGAATATTATTGCGATTTTTGTTAATTAAGCGCTTTCAGTTTACTGTTAATCAAACGGCGGCAGTAACGCGTACGTGGCGCAATATATTTAGCTCATTGGTTGGTAAATTTTTTTATGTTATGTTCATCGTTTCTTCTTTAACCTGCAAAATAATACGCATCATCGCATCATCAACGACGTTGATTATCATAGGAAAATTGGTCTGGCGACAGATCCAGTTGTTAGGTGCGAATTTTCTGAGGCGAAAAACGAAAATATTTTCCTGACAAGCACTCGATAAGTGCATCGCGAAATCTAATGGATTTAATGAGTTTCTGTCGTCATAATTGATATCGGAGAGGAAGCAATCCTGCCCGCGCGGCACTCTCCGCAATCGAGCGAAGTTTAGAAGTTTAATTATCGGCTTTGATTGCTCGCCCGAAGACTGTAATAAATTGCAACGGGTCGATCGATGTAAATTCGGTCTGTGCAGATCGTTCTAAAATTAATTGTCGCGCTCCGATTAATCATCGGACGTCGGCGACAGCGTGATGAGGCACGAAGCATCAACACATTTCCCATTGCAGATTGTTCTTTTGTGATACACATTAATAGATTCTTACATATATTAAGGAAGTGCTAAATTAGGCAAACTTTAGAGATAAGGAAAAATTTGATAAGGTAAAAACCGATCGTCAGAAAGAAAGAATATTCTTGTTTGGAGAATTCATATTAAAATAAAATTATATGGCGTTGGATGAAGATAAATTAGTTGATATAATCGATGAATATAATCAAATTAACACAATAATTTTCTCATATATAACCAACAATATTGATATTCTTGCTTATATGTAATAAAATGATTGCGTTAATTTGACTATATTCGTCTCGATTGAAGTTTGTTCCCAATGTATAAATGTGTTCTGCTTTGTTTCATCATATTGAACAGAAAACATATATATGTATAGAAATCTGCAAACTACTTGTATACTCAAAAAATAGGAAAAAGGGCAATTCGAGTTCAAGCACAGGACTAATAGTGCTATATACCATATGGGTAAAAAACCTTCCTTGTGTTAGGAAATCGTGTAATATTTATTGAACATGAATAATCAATGTAAAACAATCATACGTTTTATTATCATTGAAGAGGGTTCATGGTTGAGCCGAAACGTATGATTGTTTTATATTGATTATTCATATTCAATAAATATTACACGATTTCCTAACACAAGGAAGGTTTTTTACCCATATGGTATATAGCACTATTAGTCCTGTGTTTGAACTCGAATTGCCCTTTTTCCTATTTTTTGGTTGATATCTTCGTTTGCGAGTTCTTATTTCTTTCTCTAAATACTTGTATACTTTTAAGCTTCTAAATTCTAGCTGTAAAGGTACAGCAATGTTTTTTAAAATTTTCCTTCTTATTTCGCCGTTCTTATTTCTTTCTCTAAATACTTGTATACTTTTAAGCTTCTAAATTCTAGCTGTAAAGGTACAGCAATGTTTTTTAAAATTTTCCTAAGCGGAGCAAACACATACGGTGTGTATAAGCTCTGCAGAACTTGTGTATCAAGTAAATACTTACGCCAACTGACAACTCGAGGTGCCAATCTTGAAATCTTTTATCGTTTTCATCGTGTTTTTTGAACAACGTTTCTATTAATTTTTGCACGTATTTCCGTTGTACAAAAAAATATTTGTAATTCTGTGCAATCAATACGACATGAACTTTGCGGAAGAAAATGAGTATCTCGTCGGTAAAGTTTCCAAGTATGGCATCCCCTTAAATCCTCGGATTTTGTAACGGCAATATCTCGCAATTCGCAACTGCACTTGCCCCATAGATGCCATGTCGTCCTATTCGCGAAATGTATCGTACGCCCCTTGATCGTTAAAAGCGCATTAATAATTCACAATATCCTCACATTCCTCGACAGTTGGAGTTGATTAATTTAAAAGTTTCGTCATCGTCGTCGTCGCGCTCGCTTCTACCGGAGTTTTCAAATTCTACGTGAATGGCCGCAATTCGAAGTCGACGAAGGAGATTACTCGCAAAAGCCGCTAATTATTTCAAGGCACCTGAAATTTTCTCTCCATTCCCGGCGGGCTTTGTTCGTTCTACATTAGCGTCGCGCTTCTTGTCGGACGCGTCTGGTTCTATCCTCTGCCGCGCATTATAACCAGAACCATTCATTCGCCCATTGTTTTCGGCACTTGCCGTTTTACGCGAGAGAACTGCGAATACTACACTCAAATTTACCATCGTGTATTATTAATTTCTCGTATGCATCGCGAACCGTACTCAATCCTTCGAGTAATTTCGCCCGCGAATAAAACCGCTATTGTTACACTTATTCGTTAAGGCTGGCCGTGTACTGGCTTCTCTCGATATGCTTGCTCGAATAATTGAGTAAAAAAGTCGATAATAATCGGGAAGGTAACGCTCGCTCCCTTCGTCTCCTCACTCTCACCACGGGACGTTACACTCAGGCACTCGTAGGATAAATCACATCGATCTTACGCGCGTTGAGCTTTTTAATGGCGAACGAGGAGGAGCTTATCACGCCGCTAATCGTTCGTTAGCGGCCGGTGGAATTTTTTTCTCTTTGACCGTAGATTACGGATTACGGTTGGCGTGTCTGCGTTCGAGGCTTGAAAAGGCTTAACACGCGAGATTGATCCTTTCTGCAGGGATAAGGTGTGCATTCCCGCGCACAATGGACCTCTGAATTTCGCCAAAAGCGCCCCGTCCCAGCTACGGACGTCTTTCGCGTCGCGTGTTCGGCACACCTCTCCCGCATATTTCGTGACGAAGTAACAAGCGTGTGTGTGATCGATAAATAGCGTGGCTGGACGAATGTAATTCGCAATCGCGTGTCGCCGCATTGTCCAGACCGCCGATGAAGGATCATTGAAAAGCGAGCATGTTTTTCACGTGCAAATCTCGCCCTGACACTTGTTCAATCGAGTGTTTCACGTGACCTATACACGGGCCGGCGGGAGAGACGAGGGAAAAAAAAACGACCGAGCGAGAGCCGCGTTGCGCGAAAAGCGCGGTCGTGTTTTCGGGATATTCGCAAATATTTTTCATAATAGGCAAGCTATCGAGCGCGCCCGCGCTACCGCCACCGCCATCGCCCGCACCGCCGCCGCGGTGGTGGAGTGTTGCCGTTGCTTGCCGGGCTTTAATTACGAGCACGAAGCATACGGAACACGCTACACATTTCACCTGCATAGATTGCCACGCTCATCCCCCCGGCACTGCCGGCATTGCCGGCCGAGCCGCTTTAAGTGGCGTTAACTCGCACCGTCTTGGAATTGCCGGGCTCTCGGTTGCCCGGTGCCTTCTCGACCGCGCGGTTCCTACGGCGTTTTCGACCCTTCTAATCGGCGTAGATTTATGCACTGCCGAAATGCATACGCGATATTCTAACCGCGGTCGCGGTATCGTGAGCGCCGTTTGTCACGACGCGGAGCAACGAGATTCGCGAGGGATCCGCGCGGATTCGATCGATTCGATTTTCACACTGAGATAAAAAAATAATTGATCTAACCAAAATCCAACTGTTATTTTCCGTCCCAATGCAATTCAAATTTTTCTTTTTATATTCGTGTGTATTTGTATTGATGTAATATATTTCAGGTGTATATATCATTTCTGATAAAAATATTTCTGGTGCTTCAACGAGTATAATTGCTTTAGCTGACTTCTGTTGCGGGAGCAACTAATTATTTAGCAACAATGAAATTCGTAAATGTACCAAATTTTCTTTGATGCTTCAACAAAAAGATTAGTTGCATACATCGAATTGTATTTTTTCGAATTGTAATTGTGTGATAGAGAATTGTCTTCGCTGTACTAACAAATTTGCTACGTAATATAAAAATGTATTAGGTACAATTACAAATCTTACATCGCTCCGCGACTTTATTACATTATTATTACGGCTATATCTTTACTAGGCTAGCGAGATTTTCAGTCGTGACGGCGAATCTTTTTCTCTTCCCCATGTAGATTCCGATTTGAAAGTTCTCAACCGCGAAAAGAGACACCGCAGTCGTAACGTGACGCGTCGATATTTATGTTTTGTCGGTGTATCGCAGCAGTTGGCCGTGCGGTTCCAAGATAATTATAAATCACGAATTCGCAACTTTGCAGCAGTCCGCTGTAATTTACGGCGCATACGTTTGCATATTTCGTTCGGCCCGCGCGGCTCGTAAATCAAGAATACCGAGGTAGACATAATATATCTCGGCCACATAATGAGTTAATTGCTGCTGGGCCCCGGAATATCGCTGCCGGTTTACCTATAGCCGGCGTGTGCATAGAGGCGCGTGGCTCTTACAATTTGCCCAAATAAGCCCAGCGATTTATGTCCGTGTGCCCGGGCTGGGAGTTCCAGAAATCGATTTGTCTTGAAGACCTCTCGGCGTAACGCGCGCGATGATCGATACTCGGACTCGCTGAGCATTTAACGGAGC